GTTTTTATTTTCACGGACGGTATTATCCGCCTTGGCAAGCAGAAATACCAAGAACAATTCCCAGAACCAGCGCTGATCTGGCCCCAACTTATTATTTTAAGCTAAGCAACCCAGAGAACCATCTCCCTGGGCTTCGTGAAGGAATTGCTCTCGCAGAACTGCATCACATCGTCGATGGCCCTGGACAGTACCTGAGGTCAGATGATTTGCGATCTAAAATTTTGGCAGGCTTCAGGTATCAAAGGGCTAAGGCTTAAGAGGGTTTGGGGGGGCTCTGTTGTTCATGTTTGATGTGGAATTATGGTCCCAACCCGTCCAGAATGCATGTGAGGAGCCTCGCGTGTCAAAGAAGAGTCATGGGCAAAATTTGCGTCCACAATGTACAACGAAAGGAGATAGTGGCTGCACCATACCCCAACTATCTTGAGCCTTGGTCTTATAAACTTTTGAAGATCCTTGCTCCCCCGATGGGCCACCAGGCGTGGTAATGACCATTTTGACTGGTCCATTCCATCAATCTGTACAAACAAGGTCGGGTGATTGTTCGAAATTGGATCAAGGCCTTGGAAAAAGTGCTCCAAATCACGGTCTAGCGCCACTGCCTTTAAATGCTCTTTGTAATCACGAATATGTGAGAAGCGCTTGGCGATGTCCTTGCAGGGGCAGGGGCTGAGGGATAGGAATTAAAAAGGGGTAAAGGAGATATTGGGTGCCCTTGCCTTCTCTTCCTTGATGTGCTTCTTCAAATTAAAGCATTCATTGCACTCGGCAAGTTCAGAGGCGCTTCGAAATGGCAAGCATTGTGCCCACTTTGCCCGATACCTCTGCTTAAAGGATGAATACCTTGGATCATAGGGGATGACAGCCAAGGAGTGCAATTTCATTTGAGCCATAGTCTAAACTCCCAGTATCTCCCTTAGTAATCTGTATAGTAATGCCTAATATACTCCCTTATATAACCGTCTTTCAAGGAGTTTGCATCATGGCTCATTTTACATCCAGCTAGGCAAGGCAAAGATGAGATTGAACCTTTAACTAAGATAAGGGGCGATGCCTTGTCGTGGGGATTCAGGGCACAATAATGACGGTAGAGATCGGATAGATTCCCAGGAGGAAGGAACCGCCTTGGGAGCTGCTCGATGTGCAGCCCATGGGTCGTCGTCTGCCTGAGAAGGAAGGGTCTAGAGTCTACTCGGGGTCTGGGGTAAGGGCTTGTCTGCCGTAAATATCATCAGAGGCAAGGAGCCTATCCCACAGGGCGCGATCTACATTGATTTCCAATTCGTAATTGCTCATCCTCATCTAAAGTTTCTCCCGGCAACGCAAGATCATCTTGATCATTGTCATCGTTTTGGCCATTGAGCTCCAGGTCATCTAGTGTGGAGGAAATAGCGCATTCTGAACGTTTCTTGTTGGGCATCACAAACCTTGAGGGGTACGGACTCAGAACTTGAAATAGCTTTTGGGAGGACTTCAGTGGGATTTCAGTAGCGGGTTTTGGGCCAAACTTCAGGACCAAAAAAGGCGTTGGTGCTACAAGTTAAGATTCAGACCCTGTTGGTAGAATTTCGGCGATGCGTGCGTGCTGCTCCAACAGGAACATGTCAACCGATCGGGATACTGGAGCTGAGCGATGTAAAGGTACATTGGCTGAAAACCGCAAGTCGATCATACCCGAAGAAGCCTTGAGAAGGCGGTTCTTGCCGATGCCCATTACAGTACACATGCATTGTAGTCCAACTTCAACTCCGAGTAGACTGTAAAATCTTCTCCCCGAAGACGGTGACTGCACACAGTCCAGAATCTTGGCTGCGTTAAACCAACAGAGGTAGTATTGTAACGTAGGGATGCAACCAATGAAGTCTATCAGCATTGCAAAACATCAGCTGTAACCAGTCATGAAAGAAGCATGAAGCGAGTGCATTGGGCACTGCCTACACCCAAGGACAGTGCTACATATGGGGTGCCAGTCGAGGTTTAGGGCTTTGGGTTTTGGGATTTGGGTTTAGGGGGTGGCGGTCTCATGTGGATACATAGGGCTGAGGGTAAGTGATAGGCATACTGCTTGGGATAATAGGCGAGTATCTGGGCCGGACTGAGCGCTTTACATTGCACCTCTAGTAGTAGTAGTAGTAGTAGTAGTAATAATAGTAGTAGTAATAATAGTAGTAGTAGTAGTAGTAGTAGTAAACAATATTATTCATAATGGCTATCCAGAGTTGACCACGACCCTCTCCCGAATCTTACCCAAAGGCTTTCTAAGGTTCTTCACCAAATTCCAAAAAAATCTGAAGACCCCAAACCAACCTCTTCAGACTCAGGCAGGTAGCAAAAGCATCCTGCTCCACCTTACCCAGACTCTTGAAACCTTTCACGAACTCCACCAAATCGCCTTTGGATGAGCGAAGCCTCCTAAAGCAGTCGTGCCTAGTGCACCAGCAACGATTCCATGCCAAGGCCGTTTCGACTCCAGTTGAGCCATCCAGGCACCTCTGGGCGGGGGTTCTAGATTGGAGGATTGAGGTTGCCTGAATTTGATGCCCTTGCCTTGGCCTAGTCTTGCTTTTTGCAGCAGCAGCTGCTGCGGCCCGCTTGGTGTTATCATAATGGCGCCGTTTTGGTGGAGGAGATTTCTTGACATTCTGCAGACTCCTGACTGGGTGAATTGTATTTAGATTGGAGGCAACACGGTCGCTTCTACATTAAGTTTAAGACAAGATTCCGTACTTGTGCTCTTGCCAGACCCTCGAAAGAAAACTTGTTCTTGATCCCACCATCATCATTGCTTGCCCTTGCCTTTGGCTCCCGGCAGGCCATTCGCACAGCGGCAGCCAGATCCATCATTCCGGCCAAAAAAATGACCAAGACACCCAGCCACATTGCCGTCTCGAGTTAGCCAGCTACTATCTTTAAATGCCTAGGACCTATAGTACAATTTGGTAAAAGGACCCCGTGTCTAACTCGAGACGGAAATGTGGCAACCCCGAAGCAGGTCCTTAAGATTAGTCTGAGGATTGTTAGCAAGTTCCCAGTTGTTTTGTTGAAGGGTTGTGAACATGTTCTGGGTGAGGGGACTTGTCCGAAGGGTGAGCTTCGTGTTCCTGGCTTTTGTCAGACAATA